AACGAGCTAACAAATACTGAAGAGCTTCCTATTCCACCGGATACTGAAGATCACTACGCTAATTCAGAGAGCAAATGGCGTAAACAAGACGATGAGCCCGTTTTGTATAGAGATAAGTATATTGCTGTTACAACTACTTACTTATATATTTTTAATTACTACATGCCGGATGGAAGGGATAAGGCTATCGCTTTGACTAGTATAAAAAATATACAAACTGATAAAGAAGCGAATATCTCTGCCTGGGCATTTCAAAAATGGTATTTTTTTTTTTTTTTTTCTAGATATTTATTTATTTTTTTATTTATTGTTATTATTATTACATGTCACTCTGGTTATAACGACATCGTAGTAAAAGCTTATAAAATGCCGGTATAACTCATTTTGAATATTTTTTTTTTTTACGAATGAAAAAGAAATTGTCGATATATCCAGAGTAACGTGTATTATTATTATTAGTATTTATTTATTTATTTTTTTTTGATTGTCTCTTATACTCACGATTTATTACTTGATCGTTTGAAGGGGATCTGGGTCAATAGATCTTTGGGTATGAAAACTCTAATTCATTTATATGCTGAATGTATTTTGATTGTTCCATTTATTAGTTGAACTTATTTTATTAAATAGTGGGCAAAAGATTTTGGAAGATGGAAAGGTCATGATTTGTGTGTGATTGTTACTGTTGACCGTGGTGTGGTCAAACGAAAAGGATTTACCTTGGAAAATATTAAAGGCTTGCATACTCTTAAAGAAGCCTGGAAAAAGGCGAATGGACTACCTTACGAAGATGATGGATAAATGTATAGAACTGTATAGAACTATCAGCCAACAATATTCATATTACTTCACTATTGTATAATTGCATTGTATTAGAACATTGTTTAAATTTATAGTTTCCGAGGGTGTAAGGTGTTTATTAGATTTCCTTTGATTTTGATTATAAATAATAGGTATTTAATAAATTTTATTAATTAAAACTTCAACGTAGCTAACAATGTCGTATATGATTTTAGTGGAAGTGCGAAGAGTTTTTCTAATAATTCATTCAATGCGACCAATTCTTATGATTATATTTAATAATAACTAGTTTTGATGTGGACGACTTAATCGCATCAAATATTTTATATTAAATTTAAAATCGCAAGCCTTCTTATTGGTGTAATGCACGAGAAACTTTTCAGATTGTTTTGTTATAGTGACTAGTTAAATATTAATTTCTTGGCCTTAATTATTAGATAACCGAAAGCTCATTTAGAAAATTGTTTAATAAATATAAACTATGTATACATACTTAAATTGAAATAAAAATATTATATTCAAATCGAATTGTGGAATTCTAAATAAACTTAAGCAGTAATCTGCGAGTGATCGGCATAGTAAAATCCGGGGTTAAGATCACTACAAGCAATTAATTTTACACGACTATATAAAATCTCTAAAGATTTTATATAGTCGTGCAACACTAATTGCTTTGTATTTTGCCATTTTTGGGCGATTTTGATGATTTTACCACCATTAGAATCGTAAAAATTAGCTCTAAAACTTTTATTAAGGCTTAAAGAAAGGTTTACTTACTAAAAAAAATAGTTTACTTTTGGAGCAGCTACAGATTTACAAAGATATAGTGATCGGTTATTGTGCTGATCATTCGCGGATTATCACTTAAGAAAATACAACGCGATGGAATTTATTAAGACTGAGCAATTCCCGAATTAGAACCTATCAAAAGCTATTATATGTGAAGAGTATTCTATTACAGTATTACAGTCAGTGTTTAAAATTCAAAATAAAAATTACTTGCACAAACATGTTATATTTTGTGCAACTTTTTTGAAAAATTTTACTTGCACACTTAGTAAATTTTTTAAAATTCAACAAAAAATTCTTGCACATGTGCATCTTGTGCAAGCCAATTTAAACACTGATTACAGTATTACACAGTTATCAATATGTATTCTAGAAACATTTTTCTTTATTAAATTTTTCCAATAAAAGCAATTAACTATAAAATTGTTTTTTTATATATGTTGTCAAATTAAAAATTAAATCATTATAATTTCCCGCTAATACCTAACAAAACTCCACGTTTAAATTTTGATCTGACGCAAATTTTGATCTGATGCACGACATATACAAATTAATTGTTCGAAGCATAGCGAGGACTTTCTATAGATACGTTAAGTCCCAAAAAATGGTTTGGAACCAGATCACGTGATACCGAGCCAATCAATGTGTAAACAGATCGACATGGATCAGCCCGAAGCTATAATTTTTTACATCGTATTAAAGCAACATATTTTTTTTCTAGTTAAATTTATTTACAAAAAATAAGTTCCATCAAAGGGAAACCATACTTCGGGCTTTGACGTTAATTATTTATTGTTTACCGGATTCAGCAGCTGGATTCAGCCCTGATATAACATATGATTAAATTTATTTACGTATCATACGTTTCTGATCAGGGCTGAGTCTAATTAAAAAATAATAATAAACTTGGAAGCCTTGGCGTCATCCATGTATGATAAAGATCGGTATTTACGTCAGAAGGATCGGATAACCGCGTTATCAGTTAAATTGCGAAGCGACACGCGCTTCACGTTATATCACAACGATAATCAACGGTAACAAGTACCGCGTAAAACTCGGAAAGTCTCTCCCCTATTTTTTCAACCTCAGATTAGCTGAAATAGCTTTATTGACCGCTAATCTGAGGTTGAAAAAGGGTGCGATGATTATTTTTCGAGTTTTACGATATTTATTTTTAAATTGAAGTTCAGCTTATTCAGACTAAACTGTATATTCAAAAAATCGGTTCAATTCGACTAAAAATGTGAGCTAAGCCAAAAGTTTCAAAAGTTTGCATCCCTAAATAGTGCCAATTTCCATTGAAAATAGCATATCATTAGTGCAGACTGATGTTTGCATGCTCGCCTCGATCTCTGCTTCACTCTTTCGACTTTCAGCTTTGTTTCTCAAGTACTCTTTCGTTAATTTGGTCATTCAATATTGAGTTATAAGCTTATCTCTTGCTTAAAAATCTAAAAACGAGAAAAGACAATCACTTTTTCAATATCAATCTCAGCTAAGAATGAACTCTCGCTAATTTACGATCAATGTTAGGTTCATTGATATATATTACTCATTTTGGAATTGTTAAAGATGATTAAAATGATTAAAAATATGCTCATTATAATATTATAATAAATAATAAAAAAAATTTAAATTAATATTTATCTTTGAACTTATGACGTTAAGCTACACTGACCAAACAATCCATCTTTTTTCAGTTTGAAAAGTAAGCCTCACTACAATTTCATAAAAATATATTAAAAGTTCCGTTGCTTACTTATATCATAAATATATTTTCGGTAATCCTATTATAATATTTTATGAAAGATTAACGAATATATTTCATTTGCTCTCTGAATTAGCGTAGTGATCTTCAGTATCCGGTGGAATAGGAAGCTCTTCAGTATTTGTTAGCTCGTT